CTCCATTAATTAAAGGATGAATAAGCATAATACAGTTCATACAGAACTGGAGATGCAACTCAGGAGCAGAGCACTTGCCTGCACTGGCCTGGCAGATGCCATGCATTGCCCTGGAAAATCCCCAGCCCTGGAAAAAAAAAAACATATTCATATTGTTGAAGATTATTCATCTGTGAAAAGGAATAAAGTGTTAGCACCTGCTACATGAACACAGTGCTAAGTGAAAAAAAAAAAAACAGGCACAAAAGGACACATTTTATCCCATTTAGCTGAGCTGTGCAGAATAATTAAATCTGAAGGTTGAAAACAAGTCGTGGTTCCCAGAGTTTAGAGGAAGTAGGGAACGCTATTAATAGGCATGGGTTTCTATTGGGGATGATGGACATTATTTCGAATGCTGTCATACTTAATGGCTATGTAAGTACTAAAACCCACCTAACCAAACACTTGAAATGGGTGACTTTTTGATGTGGTACTTATATCTCCAGTGTTTTCAAATGGAGTTAACCTGCAGTGGGGTTCTCAAGCTATGGCTCAGCCTAAGAGCAACCACTAGGAACTAGTCAGAAATATGTCTTTGTCATCTCCCCCTCCTCCTCCTCCTCCTCCTCCTCCTCCTCCTCCTCCTCCTCCTCCTCCTCCTCCTCTTCTTTTTGTAATGTGTGTGGATGGCCTGCATGTATGTCTGCACCACTTGTATGCCTAGCACATGGAGAGGCCCAAAGAAGGTATCAGATCCTCTGGAACTGGAGTTACAGGCAGTTGTAAGGTGATAGGAAACAAACCTGAGTCCTCTGGAAGAGCCCCTAGTGCCCTTAACCGCTGAGCTGTCTCTCCAGCCCAGATATAGGTATCTTAGGTAACAACTCCCTGTGGCTCCAGCTACTGCAGGCTGAGTGGGAGGAGCCAGAAGTGGGAGGCCAACCTGAACCACATAGAGGAGATACAATATTTTTTGAAAAATGCAAAATTTCAGACCCTTCATCCAGACCTTCCAAAGCATCAGACCTGTAGGCTGGTCAGATCCTTCCAAGGGGTTCTGCATTTGAGAAGCAGGAACACTGTCTAAGCCATGTGGACACTTAGCTCCAGGGCCCAAGAATATCTCTCCAGCAGCCAGGGGTGCAGTCTACCCCCAGGGCCACAACTTAGCCACTCCCTTAATTGAAGTGTCCAATTAGTGAACCATCCAAATTAGTGTGAGGTTTTCATCAACTGTTACATCTGTTCTTTCCCTCTGGCATGGTGGGCCATCTGTTGGTTACAGTTCGTCTTAAATACTTTTTTGTCACATAATTAAGTTGTAATGTTCTACTTCAAGGGAGAAATCAGTGAGTTAGGGAAAGAAAGAAGGTCTTCTCTTTAGTGTTGACATATCTTTCAGTCTGTGATGGTGCATGGGAAGTGAAAGGCTGGGCGCCAGGAGGGGCTTCCAGAAGCATTGGGGTGGCTGTCACTTGGGAGGCAAGAATGCTGCCACTGGCCATCAGCATTGGATGTTCTTTGGATGGACATTTTTCCGATCACCCTGTGGCCTCACAGCCTTTTACAATTATTTCTTGGTGGTGTGTGTTTGTAGTCCTCATGCTGGGAGAGTGGAGGCAGGCTCCAAGGCCAACAAGCCTGGAGGAAATGGCACCCAGTTCAGAAAAAAAGCAAGGTGGGTAAGTCCCAAGGAATAACACTCAAGGTTGACCCCTGGCCTATATACTCACATGCATGCACATATATGTGTGTATGTACATGCACAAACATACATACATACACACACACACACACACACACACACACACACACACACACACACACACACACTGGTTTCATGGAATGATATTTAGCTTTCACTATGTGTAACCCCATTATTTTCTATTTCTTCTTATGGAAATATTGGTTTCATCCACTAAAGTGATTTTTCTAATCCACCAGTGTAAGACACCCAACTGTTAAAAACCACAACAGTAGAGATAGGGTCTGCTAGAGGATTGTTTCCAAGGAAACTATGGTGGGTGTTGATGCTAACTGCTTGGGTGGGGCCAAGATGATGACAGATGTCAAAACAAAATGCAAAGCCCATACCAGCAAAAGGACAAATGCCTGATGCGAGTTGGTGTCTGTGAAAGAAGAAATGTGTCCTTCTGCAGTTTTGTGTCTATCTGCAGAGAGGTTCCTGGGTACTTAGGTGGCCAGGGTCACAATTCCGTGAAATGAATTATTCTCCTATGCATGGAGTCTTAGAATGCCTCAGCCTTCCTCAGCAGCCCGGATGGGTTGGGATGTAGTTGACAAGAGGGGAGCCTGGAATTTGGGCCAAACCATGGGACAGAAACTGTTCTCCTGTTTATGCTGGGGGTACCCAGTATGGAGAGGTACCTTTAGAAAGAGATAAGAGACAGATGTTTTCCTAATTGCAGCATCTGGATGGATAACCAGCTGACTTGCTGATCTCAAGCTAACCACATTTTCTTTGCTCCTAATAAGCAGTCTGGGTTAGTCTGTTGTTATTGTTGATTTGTTTTGTTTTGTTTTTGATTATAATTATTTAGGAAATAATAATACGCACATACACAGCTCTGAAACTGATGAACTCCAACCTGCTCTGACATTTAAAAAAATTGAGATATAATCTATATGCCATAAAATAGACCCTATATCGCACATCTTCTCTTCTATATTCAGAGAACAATATGACCCTTGTCACTGTATAATTCCAAAATATTTTTATTATAAAACAAAACAAAAAAATCACCAAACACATCCACCAGTGAAGACTCCCAGTCCCGTCTGTCTCCCTGGCGACCACTGGGCTGTTTCTGGATTAACCTGTTCCAGACATTTCATCTGGATGGAACCTAGCACTATGTGGCTTTTGTGTCTGGCTTCCCTCCTTGTGAGAATCATTCTAGCACCCCTCCCTGTGGAGGCATGCATGCCTCAGCATTTCAGCCTTTCCCTGGTCTGACATACACAGCTGGCTTATGCTTTCCTCACTGGGGTGACTGTGTGAGCATTTGAGGTTTTGTGACAACATCTGTCTTCATCTCTCTCAGGTGTGCATGGAGGAGCCAGGTAGTGAGTGATGAGGCCGCTCTGTTGAACTCTTTAGGGGAACGTTGGGCGGTTTTCTAAGGAGTCTATACATTTGTATTATTCCACCAATATGTGAGGGTTTTTACTTTTCCACATCTTTGATAATATTTGTTATGTTTTTTTACTATAGTCATAGTTTTGGGTGTAAAATAATTTTAATTGTATTTTCTTAATGACTAAAGAAATTTATACTTATGTTTTTTTTTATTTTTTGTGTTGGGCATTATAAAATAGGTTTGATGGTCATTTGTATGTGTCTTTGGAGAATGGTCTGTTCAAAACCCTTTTCTCTTGAATGTGCACACAGGTGCACATGTGTATAGGAAGTGTATGTGTGTGTGGAGGCCAGAGGTCAATTTCAGGCGTCATTTCTCAGGAGCCGTATACCTTGTTTTTGAGACAGGTTCTCCAGTTTAGCTAGTCTGTCTAGTCCACACCCCAGGGATCCTCCACAGGCCACTCCTTCCTTCTGCAGTTTTTTAACTTAATCCTCGCTTCTCTTTGTCTTGTCTTGGGAGGAGAATAAGGTCCTGGGTTTTCAAATGGTTTCCACTTCAACATGGGCATTTACAGTTAGAAGTTTCCTTTGGGGCCTGTCTCCGCCACATCCTGTGAGTTTTGACCTTTTACATTTTGTTTTCTGTTTCCTGCAGTATTTCCTAATTTCCCCCGTGATTTCGTCTCTGACCTCTCAGTTACTAGGACTGTGCTATGTGACTTCCAATTGTTTGCAAATCTTCCAGCTTTCCTCCCAACATTGAGTTCTAATCCCATTCCCCTGAGGTTGGCAAGCACACACTGCCTGACATCAGTCCTTCTAAACCCACTGGGTCTTGTTTTACAGCCCCACGTTCAGTCCGTTTTAGAGAACTGTCGGTGTGTACTCAAAGGGAGTATGTGTACTTTATTTTTTTTTAAAATATTTGAGGGCCAGTGAGATGGCTCATAGGGTACTGACTCTTGACAAAACCCTGATGACCTGAGTTCAGTGACCCAGACCCACATGGTAGAAGGAAAGAACTGGTTCCCACAAGTTGTCCTCCGACCTGCACACACCAGCACTGTGACACAACACCCCCCATGCACTCACACAAAATAAATACATGCAGAAATATATATATATATATGTAGGTGTAATAAAATATTTTGTTTTTGTCATATGTGCACATGTGTGTGAGTGCAGGCATGCATGTGTTGTGTGGAGGCTTGAGGACAATTTTTAGGAGGCAGTTTTGCAATAAGTCACTAGAGCTTTTACCCACAGAGCCATCTCACCGGCCCCAACATGTGCCTTTCTTGCATGCACAGACTGATGCTTTCTGTCAGCTTTGGGGTCTTACGCATGAGTTCTCGGTGTGCCTTCCAGCGTCTGCTCCCTCCTCCCATGCGCTGGGCTGCATGCCTGGTGCTTCCCACACTCCGTGTCACACCATTCCTGCAACAACCAAGACAAAGAGAATGTTCTTATGAGCAGATGAGGACAGCAAGATGCCAAGTGCTCAGCCATGCTTGCCACACTCCATAGGCCAGTTACTATATTGCCATTGCCCTAGTTTGACCCTTATTCTCAGAGGAACAAGTAGAGTTGATGGAATTACTCCAGGCTGTCTGACTCCAGAACCCATATCTCACCTCCCCCTCGCAGCTCCCCTGGACCAGTGTCATCCTGGCTCTTGGTTCACCTTCCTTGTCTGGTCAATTTAAGGGTTTCAGTGGACTAAAGTTGGTCAGCCAACAAGCACTGAGTCCTCCTGCTACTTCCAGGTGACATGCTGGAGAACAGTTCCATGGTCGCAGTTACTTGAAGTCACAACAAGTTTAACTTGAAAACAATAAACCAGGAGTGGACTAGCAATCACATAACCCAATATCTTTCTCTCCCACCCCTTGCTCTACCCCACCCCCCTTTGCAGAGGCAAAAGGCGACAAGGCTAAGTGGGTGTTCACTTGGCCCCTCATCTTCCTCCTCTGCGTCACCATCCCCAACTGCAGCAAGCCCCGCTGGGAGAAGTTCTTCATGGTCACCTTCATCACGGCCACGCTGTGGATCGCTGTGTTCTCCTACCTCATGGTGTGGCTGGTGAGTGACAGCCCCTGCCCAGCCTCTTCTAAGCTTCGGTCCCACCTGTGGGCAAGTTATTGGCCTTGCGGACCTCGGTCTCTTTCTCAGTAGAAAGTGGTATTAACATAGGACCACAGTGCCTTTCATGTACCAAGAGTGGACACCATGCTTTGTTCCCTCTAAGATGGGAGCAGGCATTGGGAAGGGAGACATACAAGAGGATGCTCTGGTGGGCTGGGCAGAGTAAGGAGACCCAGTCCTGGGCCCCTCATTTCTAGGGTTCCCAGAGGAATGTAAAGGAAGGAAATGGGGTCACTGAAAGGTAGCAGGAACCTTCTGTCAAAAAGCTGCCCTTTTTTGTGCCAGACACACAGGACAATTGTATAGAAGTCCCATTTGGGCCTCCTAACATCCCCATGGGATAAATATTTTTAGTGTCCCTACTTTACTGATGGAGAAGCTGATGCATGGAGAACCCACAGTTGTCTGAATAGCTGGGGCTAATGATGGAATTGGAAAACCCCTGTTTCCTGCAGGGGGGTTAGAAGCAATAAGAGGGGGCGTGGCTGCAATATGGCTGGATTTCTATTCATTGTGAAGCTCGTCTGTCAGTGCATGTACCTCATTAGATCATTTCCTCTTCCTCCTAACACAGAGGGCAGCATCGGGGAGGTGAGCAGGCCTTGACTGCTGAGGCAATGGGGCCAGGAGAAGTTCTTTATGAGCCCAAGGGCCTCTTTCCCTTCACCCTAGAGGAAGGAGGCAGGCTAGCAGAAAAGATGGGCTGTGGGGAGTCACCCAGGGTCCTGCATATGCTAGGCAAGTACTTGGTACTGAACCACATGCTCTGCCCAAGAGAACATATTTGAAGCCTGATTCTGCCTCTTAAGACCGTTACAATTGAGCAAGTGGCTGACTGACCCAACTCCTGGAACCGAGGTGAGCCCTTCCGTGAAGTTGGGGTGACCGCCACTGCCTCTCAAGCCTGTTGGCCCATTGTTAGACATCCTGCTCTCCAACCAGCCCGGTCTCATTTCCCTTCTTCCCAGCCCTGTGTGGAGAGAGCCCAGTTGTTGGATCCTGAATAGTACATGCTACATTTGTTGCCTTCTTTGTTTGTTTGTTTGGGGGGCTTGAAATAGTTCCTACCCACACCCCTAGAAAAAGATGCCTCTCAAAGACGATAACAGCCGCACCTTAAAAGAATTCAGTCTCACATCTTACTTGCCCTGAGCAAAACGAAAAGCCAGCCACCTTTACATTGTAAAGGGACCAGTGATGTTTACTAAGTCATATCCCCAAAACATGACAAGTTTTTTTAAAAAGTAGAGTATTTTGTGAACTTTGAGTAGGCATGGGGAATTAGGAAGGTCAAATTAAAGAATTTGTGAAATTCTTTCTTCTCTCGTTACGGAAAATGTCAGCACTATTCAGTGAGCTCTAGGTGGCCAAGAGCTGGGACACTCCCACCTGCAGTATCTTCATTTACAAATCCTGCTTTTGTTTTGAAAACCAGAGTCCTAGCCAGGTTGGACTGGGGTCATGAGAGCCACCCTGCTGGGCCAGTCTGACCTGTGGTATGGCTTTGAGCATTGATGGCCTCGGTTTGGGGAAATAAAACCGTCTTGATGATAAGAGGGGCTAAAGAAGACAGTGTCTCAGAGCTCACCTTGATCTCTAAGGTGCGCCTGCCCTGGTGGCCAGTGCTGGCTTCCATTATGTCCTAATGGGGCACCAGGGAGAAGTGAAGCCACCGGGCCATCCCCAACCCATCGCCTTTAAGGCTGTCACCTCCAAGGGGTTAAGAAGAACCACTTGCAAATGTCAGAGGTACACATCTTCAGTCCTAGCTGTTGGAAGCAGAGGCAGGCCAGTCTCTATGAGTTCTGGAACAGCCAGGCTACAAAGAGAAACCTTATCTCAATTAAAAAAAAAATGTCAGTGTCAAGTAGAGGGACCTTCCAATGGACTGTCCTTTCTAAAGCACAGTTGGGGACACTGGGGAACAAAGAGAACCTGGGAACATGGCTTCCCATCTGGAGGCTTGGAGCACTGGAGTTTGAGTCCAGTGTAGAATAAGGTTCATGTGACATTCCTGACCCCAGACCCTGAAGTGTGTGGGCATACCTACAAATTGTGCCTCTCTTCTGTCCCCCCACCCTGCTGCTTCTTAGCCATACGGTTCAGTAGTTTAAAAAGGAGGTACTCCTAGCAACTCCAGAGTAGCTCAGTGGCTACCCTTAAGATGTCCAGCATCACCGATTCAAACCTCGTATGTCACAGCTAGTGGCTTGCGGAGACTCCTTTGGTCAACAGTGTGGACTTGGTAATGATGAATCAGTTGTTCTTTTATCCCTCTCCTGAGTCCCTCCTTCCAGGGCCAAGGCATGTTAACAGTGTGCCACTGTCTGAGAAAATGAGGTGTGTGTGTGTCTGTCTGTCTGTCCCCGCCCAAGAGCAGGGGTACCTGGTAGTGTGTTGGACCCTCTCTGAGTGTGGGCAGTATGTTCTAACTCATCTGTTGCTCTTCTCCAGGGCTGTTTCTGTAATCCACACATACTGGCTGAGCCTGGCACTTGGGAAGCACCTTTAGTCTGGGGCTCTCAGAACACTGAAATCCGATGGCTCTCATTTTCTTGTCCCCATAGAATACAAACAAATGGTTGAAATAGAAGGAAACGTTGCACCATGGCCATGTGGCCCTGGCCAGGTATTCACATTACACTTCCTCATTGCGTCCTTGCCGCTGAGCCCATGAGAGAGCAGCGGCTTAGAGAAGAAAGCCTGATTGTCCGAAGTCATACAGCAGTTGCTGGGACTAGAACCATTAACTAGTGTCCTAGTTTCATAACTGTTGCTGTGAAAAAAAAAAACCTGGACAGAAAGCAACCTAAAGGAACTTAGGACCGCTAGTCATATCACATCCACACTCAAGAACAGAGAAAGAAGTGAATGTGTGAACGCTTAGTGCTCAGCTCACTTTCTCCATGCTTCTACAGTTCAGGACCCAAACCCAGGGATGGTGCTGCCCATAGTAGGCTGGCTCTTCTCATGTCTGTTAACACAATTAAACAATCCCTCATACACATGCCTACAAGCCAACCTCATCTAGACAATCCCTCATTATTACTATCTTCCCAGGTAATTCTAAGGTTATCTTAGGGTTTCTATTGTTATAATGAAAAAACATGACCAAAGCAAGCTACGGGGGCAGGGGGAGGCTTATTTGGCTTATGCTTCCTTATCACTGTTCATCACTGAAGGAAGTCAGGGCAGAACTCAAATAGGGCAGGAACCTGAAGGCAGGAGCTGAAGCAGGGGCCATGGAGTGGTGCTGCTTACTGGCTTGCTCCTTATGACTTGCTCAGCCTGCTTTCTTACAGAATCCAGGACCACCAGTCCAGGGATGGTACCACCCACCATGACCATGCTGGGCCCTTGCCTATTAATCACTAATTAAGAAAATGCCCTACAGCTGGATCTTATGAGTGCATTTTCTCAGTTGAGGTTTCTTCCTTTCTAATAACTCTAACTGTGTCAAGTTGACAATTAAAACTCTCACAACTGAGATATGATCAGCTCTGAGGGACATCACTGTCTGAAGAGAGGCAAGCTGCAGCCAAGGGCTAAACCAGGGTAGTCCAGATGCCTCTAAGACTTTCTATCTGGCTGCCCCAACTCTGCTGCTAATGGCTCCAGCCGCCTTGCCAGTGTCGTTATCTCAAATGGCGTTCACTGGCAGACTGTGACTATGCACTCAAGATCTTCTTGAGAAGCCTTTGATCCAGCAGGTCTGTGTCTTGGAGTTTCTCCTTAAGGAAGTAAAAAGATGACAATTCAGACATTGACATACAGACACATTGATGCAGAGGAGATTGGAGCATTTGGCTGGGAGTCCATGCTCCACTGTGAGCAGCTGGTGCCCACGGACATTGGTACTTAACCTCTCTGTCTCTCGTTTGGCATAACAATAGTGTCCTCCTTACCAGTAGGCAGAAAATAATAGAATACATAAGATTGCGAAAGTGTGGTGGTTTGAAAGAAAATGGCCCCAAAGAGAGTGGCGCCATTAGGAGGTGTGGCCTTGTTGGAGGAAGTGTGTCACTGTGAAGGTGGACTTTGAGGTCTCATATGCTCAAGCCATGCCCAGTGAGACAGATCACTTCCTGTTGCCTGTGCAAGATTAGAACTCTCAGCTACCTCTCAGCATAATGTCTGTCTGCACACCATCATGTTCCACTATGATGATAATGGACTGAACCTCTGAACCGTAAGTGAGCCATCCAATCAAATGTTTTCCTTTTTAAGAGTTTCTGTGGTCATGGTGTCTCTTCACAGCAATAAAAAACCTGACTAAGACAGAGAGTAAGATACCTTTGTAGACCACCTGGAATACAGTAAGTCCTCGATAGAGATCCAACAAGGAGCCATTGAAATATTAGTAATGGATTAGTGCACAGGCCATACAGTGAAATCTAAGCATCATTTTAAAATATATGTAGGTGATGGTTGCAAGTGGAGAGGTATTCATGGTATATTATTACATGAAATGAACAGTTACAAAATGAATAGTGATAATATGATCTGACCTCCCATTTTTCCCAAAAACAAGACCAAGAGTGCACAGACATTTTCAGATGTTTTCAGACCAGCAGCTTCAGGGTATTAACCACCTGGGAATGCAAGTTGTTAGGCCTCACAGTGGGACTCTGCGGTGAGGCCTGGTGGTCTGGTTCTAGTAAACTCTCCAAGGGATTGTCAATGTCCTCAAGTCTGGGACCCACCTACAGATGTAATGTGTCAATAGTGGTTGTCGATGGCTCTTAAAAAATGGTAGTTAACTGTCATTTTCATTTTATTTTATAAAAATGTTGAATGCAAGACTGGAGAAATGGCTCAGTGGATGAAAACACTGGCTGCTCTTCCAGAGGACCCGGGTTCAATTACCGTCACCCACATGGCAGCTCACAGCCATCTGTAACTCCAGTTCCAGGGGATCTTATGCTTCTTTTGCCCTCCTTGGGAACTACATGCACACAGAACTCTCATACACATTTAAAAAAATAAGTAAAATGGAAAAAAATTTAAAGAAAGGTTTTAAAGCCATAAGCAGATACTGCGTGATCAGTGAAAAAACATGCAAAGGTTTCTCTGCTGAGCATGGTGGTGCACGCCTTTAATCCCAACACTGGGGAGGCAGAGACATGAGAATCTCTGAGTTTGAGGCCAGCCTGGTCTTCATAGTAAGACCCAGTCTCAAAAAAATTTTTTTTCCTTAAGAAACTGAGGCTGTGGCTCCATTGGTAGAGTGCTTATCTGGTATGCGTAAAGCCCTGAGTTCAGTCCCCAGGACTACATAGAGCAGGTGTGGTGCTGCATGCCAGGAACCCCAGCTTTTAAGAGGTGGATAGAGGCAGGAAGACTCAAAGTGCAAGGCCACCCTTAGCTACATAGCAAGTTCAAGGCCAGCCTGAGCTGCATGGGACCGTGCCTCCATAAATAAATAAATAAATAAACAAACAAATAAATAAATAAATAACCATATTCAAGATTTTTTTCCTAATTACAACACCATCACATTTAATTTAAAAGCACACTGGGTAAGGAGAGTTTCCAGGGTTGTTGTATTGTGAGTTCACCCCAATCTCTGACTCTGGCCTCTTCTGCAGGTGACTATTATCGGATACACTCTTGGGATCCCTGATGTCATCATGGGCATCACCTTCCTGGCAGCAGGCACAAGTGTTCCAGACTGCATGGCCAGCTTGATTGTGGCAAGACAAGGTATGGATTGAGCCTCAGCCCCCTGCGCCCCCTGCGCCCCCTGCGCCCCCTGGCAAGCTCCCCGTCTCCACTGGCTGAGCTATGGCTCTTAGAACTGGCGGTTGTCAGGTTCCGCTCAGAGGGAGCCATGATGTCTAGAAGTTGTCATCTATTAGACTCCCTTGTGGGGAGACTACTGTTGGGTCACTATTCCTGAGGAGATATGAGCAAATACCTCTTCACACCATACAGGGTACTGATGACAACCCAAGAAATGACTCCATCTCAGTTAGCTTGGGGAACCAGAGACTTTATTGTCATTACTTACAGAGTATGGGTGAGGGAGGGGCTACTACAGGAATGTGGGTAACCTCCAAACAGCTGCCTCACTATAAAGTCCCACCCCACTGTGGATGACAGCCTCATGGAAGCTGCATCATGGAATCCGTGCCTCACTCCCTCCTGCATCTCAGCTGCACAGGCCCTGGTGGGGAGGGGATGCTAGAGCCAATAGGTCTGTGCAACCAGGAGACAGGGGTAAGTGGTGGGGAGGGGGATGCTAGAGCCAATAGGCCTTGTGTAACCAGGAGGCAGGGGTGAGTGGTAGGGAGGGGATACTAGAGCCAATAGGCCTTGTGTAACTAGGAGGCAGGGGTGAGTGATGGGGAAGGAGATGCTAGAGCCAATAGACCTTGTGTAGCTGGGAGGTGAGTGATGGGGTAGAATGTTAGGTGAGGATCTAATGATCCTCATTCCTCTCCTGCTTGGGAAGTCACCCACAGGCCCAACTGTCACTGTATGGTTCTCCTCATTTCATTATCATGACTACAGGGCCAAGTTATCTCTGATCCAGGATGGATATGGGATGGTCTTGATACGCCCAGAAGAAAACAACCACACTACAACAAATACTAGGATGGACTCCCCTAGATCTTTTGAAGTATTTTCCTGTGTGGTTGTTTTAAAGGAGATGGGTCCTAAGGTCACAGTATGAGTTGGAAACAGAGCCTCGACCTAGAAGTCATACAGCAAATGAGTGATTATATGCATTAGTTACTTTTGTCCTGCTGTGGCCAAATTACCTGACCAAAACAACCTAAGGGAAGAAAGCTTTATCTTTGCTCATCATTTCCAGAGAGCTCAGCCCATCACAACAGGGACTGCAGGGTAGAACATGGCACTGGACGTAGGTGGTGATGAGTGTTTACATCATGGTGGATGGGAACCAGAAACTGGAAGTAGTGACCTACTTTCACAAGCTAGACTCCACTTCCCAACAGCTCTACAGTGTCCCCAAATAGTGCCACCATCTGAGGAACAAGTGTCCAGAGCATGAGCCTGTTGGAAACATTTTAGATTCAAGCCATAACAAATGAGAACCATGTCTGTCTCAGACAGGCATCGTGAAAATCCTAGACAATGGCTCTTTCCTGTTCCCCTGAATTCTAGAAGATGTGAAGTGTTTTACTTTGTATGTCGGTTTTCTTTTGGGTTTATGAAGTGACCCAAGTTGAGCAAAATGAGGAGTGATTCACAGTCTTTGACCCAAAAACCAAAGAGCTGCTGAGCCTGGCCTTTCATTCTCTGCTCCTCTCTACCAAGGAGACAGCATCCCAGAGTGGGCTAGTACATGTCTTCCTGGTAGGCAAGAGTTCTGAAAGTCCATGGGATGGGAAGGCCGAACAGGAAGAATGTCCTCAGGAGACAGGAGAAGAAGGCAGCGCCAGGGAGAAAGGTTGGTTCTGGAAATAAAGACACATTCCTCCAAGAGACTCAGAGGCTGAGACAGTGGCGTGAAGAGAAGACAGTGTGAGAATGTGTTGAGTTCTGGGTAGGCAGGTGCCTGACGTAGAAAATTAGAGGCCATTGGAAATGGCAGCTGAGGGGAATGGAATTTAATCGGGTGACCTTTCAAATTAGTATGTTTGCTTCCTAGGGCAGATCAACACAACTGAACTTAACCTTACTCAAAGTCTGAAACCCAGGGCCTGGGGCCTGGGAGGCTTACCCACCCTTCAAATTCCAGGAAGAGCCTGCTTGAGGCCTCCTGTGAACTGGGGCTCTTTGGCTTACCCAGCCTGTAGCTGTACCCCTCTAGGCTCTGCTTCTGTTGTTCCAGGCTGTGTGTGTCTCTGTGTTTCTGCAGCCATGCTTCCTTCTTATAAGAACAGCTGATACTGGATTAGAGCCCACTTAGGTCAGTATAACTTTATTTGATGGCATCTGTGAAAATCCTAAATTCAGTCACAGTCAGAGGCTTGGGGTGGACATGAATTGGAGGCAGGCAACCCCTTACACAAATACAGTGAGTGAAAAGAAAGCTGAGGGACGTGGGGCCCTAGCTGGCATTCAGTCACATGAACCTGGGAAAAGTCAGTCTTATGGATACTCCACAGCACACAGGTGACAAAGTCACCTCTGGGTGAGCACCAGGGAAAGACAAGACAAAAGGATGTTTGGTTTCAACCCTGGCTAGCAGGAAGTATTGCAGTTTGGCTGGTCCCAGTGTCAATGAAGGGTCTTATTTAGGAACAAGGGATAAGCAGAGTCCTCCAGTAGGACACAGTCTCACACTAGCCACGGCAGAAGAAGTGTGAATATGGCTAAGGTTTGGAGTGCAAAGCTGTCATAAGGTAACAGCGATGTGATCCACAGAACCGGGTAGACATGGTCCGGCTTAGAAGCTTCTCTATGACAAAGGGTTCAGAGTCAACTGTGTGAAGCAGGAGATCACATGGGTTCTCTGACAGGAGCTTCTGCCCTAGGCCTCTCTGCAGGCTCCCTACAGGTCAAAGCGTGGCAGGCAGGTATCGACAGGGGCACTCACAATGTACCCAGACCCTCAGGCCGTGCACTGTCCCTGCTCAGTCAGGACCTGCATGTTACAACAGCCCCGGGTGACTTACGTGCCCATTAAGGTGTGTGTCACACTGCCCTAAGACTCCCAGCCACCTGTGTAGCCCAGAGAGTTGCTTTGAGACACAATCATCATCATCATCCCCCATTTCCATCTCCTATATCCCCCACCCATCTCTAAATTCCAACATCTGTAGCCTGTCCTCACCAGGTACAAGTAGCTGGTCCCAAACAATCAACTGCACATTTCCTTCACATTGCTAGAGTCTAGGAGCCTAGTAGACCAGGGTCATAGAGATCCAGACCTCAGAGCCCTAAGCTGCCAAGAATCTGGTCTTTCACACCATGTGCTGGGGGTCATCAGAGGACAGGGATGAAAATGAGGGACAAGGAGTGGCCTGGCACACTGGAGGGTAGTGAAGAGGCGGGTCTGGATGCTGGACGGACTTGCTGATGAATGACGCAGCTACCAAAGCAATGTTAGGTTGTAGACATTGGCGTTTCAGGCTTGTTCCTTCTGTGCCCTCATTTGTGGGTGCTGGCTAACAATGTCAGAGTTCAGCCAGCGTGAGTCTTTTCTTAAAATGTGTTCTAATTCATGAGCCACCTCAAGAGAGGATGTGCCTCAGCTGTGTGACCAACAGGATCTTGGACAGTGGGGCAGGAAGGGGAACAATGGCCTCTGATTGGAAAGAGAAAGGTCACCCTGCAGAAACCACAGGAATGTAAGGGCTGATGCTCTGTGGTCCCAGATAAGGCCATGGATGCCATGATATATATATATATATATATATATATATATATATATATATATATATATATATATATATATATATATATATATATATCATGGCTTGGTAGAAAGATACTAGACCAGCATCCCGAGACTGAGCCTCTAGCAAAGTATTAGCCCTTGGTCGCCTGCCATGTGAGAGTGGTGGTAGTCCCACCCTGTGGAGGCCCTAAAGGTTTCCTAGAGAGACCTGAGCTTACTTCACCCAGCAGGGCTGCATTAGAGGATGGCTTCTTGAGCTTGACCACGTGTATGGTTACCAGGTAATTGGAAAGGCTCTGCACTTGGCTGTGCTGGGGGGACGTTTTTTTGCTCCACCCCTTGGCATTCCTATAAATAGCCCTTTAGAAGAGGCAGGAGGGGCTGGTGGATAGGGATCCAGGCCCTCCCAAGGCTATCCTGTGTTTCTTTTTTTTCTCTTCTCTATCCTTCTATCTGAATCTCTTATCCCTTGCTCCTCAAGACACCCTGGGGTAAAATGTGGGAGCCGGTCTCCCAGCTGGCCTCCCACACCACCCAAACCCAGCAGAGATGGAGGAACTAAAAGAGGTGGAGCCAGTGGTAGGCCCTTGAGAATGGCAGCAGACAAACCTGAAGGAGAATAATGGGGGAGCCTGTGTTCTTTTGCTAGAGCTGGTATTGGCAGAGGGACTTAAACAGTGTTTACATCTCACATTTCTGAAGGCTGGAAAGCCAAGGTCAAGACATGGGCAGGGCTGGCACCTTTGGCAGCTGTGAGAGAGAATCCTCTACTTGGCGACCTTTGCCCTGGCCCGGTTTTCTCCTGTGTACTGTTGATATCTGGATTTCTCCTTTTCCTAGGACACCAGTCAGTCGGGCTGGACCCTGGTTCAGCCTAATGCCTTCATCATAACCCGTTATCTCCAAATAAGACCGAATTCTGAAGTGCTGGTATGGGGTTAAGACTTCCTCAGAGAGGAAGTGGGGGTTCCCTGAGACCAACTCCTGATGGAAGACGTGTGTTGCTTATCCCCCCAGGACTTGGAGACATGGCAGTCTCTAACACCATCGGAAGCAATGTCTTTGACATCCTGGTGGGGCTTGGCATCCCGTGGGGCCTGCAGACCATGGTTATTAATTATGGATCCACAGTAAGTCCTGCCACTTCCTGAAGAAGGGCATAGGTATGTTTCAGAGGGAAGGATGCTGTCCACCCAGTTCCAGGCTGGAGTTCTGGGGAGATGTGCTACCCTTTGTCCTTAGCACCCACTTTGTGTGATGGCTTCTAGAACAGTCTAGTCTTGTCTGCAGGAGGGAGTCCGTGTTTGCTACATGCTCATCAGTGTCTCTTCCTCTTGCCTAAGCCCATTGGCACCTATCCCCAGCTTGGGCCATTTCCTGATGAACCAAGTGCAGACTTGAACCTATGGCTCCCCCTTGTCATGAGGTCCTGACCATTCCTGCATGCTCACCAGAGGGAGCCCTGTGTTTCCCAAAGGAGAGAGTGAATATTCTGAAGAGGGCTGGGCTTTGGGGAAAGCCTGGCCAAGCAACTCAAGCTTTGGGCCTGTGTGCTTCACTTTCCAGGTGAAGATCAACAGCCGGGGACTGGTCTATTCCGTGGTGCTGTTGCTGGGGTCCGTCGCTCTCACTGTGAGTTTTACCATTTCAGAATGGGAGCATCATGCACACTGCATTTCATCCAATTCAGCCTGGCTGTGCACACCTCCTGTTACTTGTCCTCCGCACTGAGGGACAAAGCCAAGGAGATGTATATATTCAAAGATACCCAAAACCTACTTTTTTTCTTTTTCTTTTTCTTTCTTTCTTTTTTTTTTTTTTTTTTTTTTTTGACAAGAATAACTACAGACACCATGGTACTTCATCCTGAGCAAATGAGATGTTACCAGGGGACCTGGGAGATGAGCTTGGTCAGTTAAAGCCAAGTTAGAGTCCCAGAACCCATGTTGTTCAAATAAGAGGTCATAGTGATGCGCACTTGTAATTCAAGTACAGAGGAAACAGAGACCTTAAGGGTTCTCTGACCACCCAGCCTAGCCAAATTAGAATGTTCCAGGTTCAGTGAGAGACTCAAAAAGAAGGTGAGTAGCGTTTGAGGAATGACAGCCAAGATAGTCCTCTGGTCTCTACATGTACCCACATGTATACACACACACACACACACACACACACACACACACACACACACACACACACACAAATGTCTCAAGGGTTGTCATGTCACATGATTACATTTCATTTCTTTCCGACTGATCCAGTGAGAGAGAAACTCTCCTCACCTGCTGAGCTGACAAATGGGGGACATGACAGTCTTTGGGACAACATGTAATGACAGTGCGATCCTCCCAGCTCTCATGCACAGACCTATGCTGGGCACTTTATATCTGTGGTATTGTGTTCAGTCCCCACCACCCCTGATGAGGAAGGTACTATTATTCCCATTTTGCAGAAGAAATCAAGGCTCAGGAGTTAAGCAATTTGCTCAAGGCCACAGTTAGCAAGTGGCAAAAATGTGGTTTGAAGCCAGGTTTCTCTGTCTTTACAGATCTCTGTGCTCTGTGGAGGCAGCTGTGGTCCAACCCAGAAAAGCCTTGATTCAGGGATAAGAGCAGGGGCACTCGGGGTGGGATGGGGGAGCTTGTTCCCCCAACAACAAAGGAAGGCTCAAGCAGAAGTTCACCCAGAATGGCTCAAATGAGCCTGGGAAATGTGCTGAAGAGAAACAATTATGATGCCAAGTTCTGAGGCAAAGGGGAAGGTCTGGTTTCCTTAGGGAAGGGCCATGGTGAGGACACATTGGACCTTGAGGAAGTAGCCTGTCTCCTAGGGGAGGGCCAGTGTGTAAGTGGTTACCGTGGATTCAGCCATGTCATGGGGCAGGTCTCAGAGTCTAGTCTCAACTGGACCAGAATCTTGACTACATTTTACAAAAAGTTCTGGAGCCCACACTGTTATTTTTGGTTTAAAAGGCCTCTAAGTCTGTCAGCCCCACCAAGCCTAGCTCTGTTCTTGTCTCCTCCCAGGTTCTTGGCATCCACCTCAACAAATGGCGCCTGGACCGAAAGCTAGGCATCTACGTGCTGGTCCTGTATGCCGTCTTCCTGTGCTTCTCCATAATGATAGAGTTTAACGTCTTTACCTTCGTCAACTTGCCCATGTGCCGAGAAGACGATTAAAGCTGAGCTGTTGCCCAGAAAAGAAACTGCTGTGGCCACCATGATGCTGGCATCCTCTCTCTCTCCTTCTCCACACAGGTCTCTCCTGCCTTGGCAGCCACTGTCAATTCTTTCATGAGCTGGAAGGACGGGCCACCATGGTCTTTGTCCGGTCATGGGCCAGGCTGCTGGGTATCTGTCCCTACATGGCAGGGTCCAGGCATCATTTCAGCAACTCCACAGACTCTTGGCTGCCGGCTGCGGGGATGCATCATGTCTCTTCTCTCTTGCACACTTTAGTCAACAGGACTTCTGTGTGCTGTTTGTCTTTCTGTCCCATGGGCAACCTCAGAAATGAGTCAGTCAGTGAACGTGAGGTGTCCTAGATGAGTGCAAAGTAGGACTATGGTTGGCAAGTATCAACTCTGGGCCTGGAGAAAGCAGATTGTGTCACGATGAGCATCCGACTCTGCTGGGAACACTGGAAACTTGGAAGAGACAAGGCATTCACCTGCAGGGAATTGAGACCACTGCAGTTATAGGAAAAATAGGAAGAGTGGAAGCATTATTTCCCAGTAGAAGAGAGAAAAGCAAGCAAATACTGTTATCCTTTTTATTGACACATTCTGAAAATGAGCAATGAAATATTAAAAATAAAACGTCACATGTAGATCATCATACTTGAAGAATATCATTCCACACAAAAGGAAAGGATCATTGACAGGGACCAAAAAGGTTACCCTTGGAGAAAAAAAAAATGAATCCTTTGTGTGTCATCTTGTGCTGGCTCCGAGACAATTTGGTTTGGAATATAGCAAAAGGTGGACGACCACACAGAAACAGGTGCTAACTCAGAGACACAGTGCGGAATATAGTCACAGCTACACATTTCAGACCTTAGGATGCCATGCACCGCCCTGCAGGTTTGCACCGTCTCTGTTAATGCTCTGCTTTCAAAACTGCCCCACTGAAAAACCCAGTTGTTTATATTCCCAACCAATTGCAGAAGCAATGGCTAATGACGAGAAGAGAGTGCCCACAAATCACTCTCCTGCTTGGCCGAAGCCAAGTGTGAAAAGCATACCTTAGAATTTTTAGAGCTAAGTCTTTTCAACTTCAGAGTTTGCTACACATGCAAGGCCAGGGATGGGAGATGGACCCAAACAGGGGCAAATATGAAACAATGTTTGACTGCTTCATAGCTCTGAAATCTCTGTGTAACAGATTCATGACTATAAACCATTCCTGGGTTCTAATGAGAAAGCACAAATTAATTTTATATAGTGAGGTTTTTATTTTTTTAATGTTTCTATTGCAAAAGTCTATCGGGTCTGATGCACTTTGAATACTGAGATATTTTGCACAGTAGAAGGCATGGGAATGAGCCAGGGTAATGAGTTTAGTGATTTTAACCTTGGTGGCTACTGTAAATCCAGCAGCTGAGTCCTTCTGGGCCTATGGTGGAATCTGTAGTGATGTTCTCTAAATTTCAAGGGACAAAGTGTTCAAGCTTGTGTTCCCTTAACCAGAACTATGATAAGACCTCACTCCCATTGCCCAGCCTTCAATTCAGGGTTCACATCAGTATTAGTAGCTCAACTGAGTCAAAGCTTTGCTTTTTGTCTATCTGGATAAGTTTGGTGGCCTTCAGAGTGAGACTGCAGATTTCCCTTAAAAAGAACGGCTAAGCTTGAGTGAAGGAGCCTGAAGGTGCCTCAGTATAAACTCAGCTGCAAGAGGCTTCAGGGTTGCTCTAAGCCCTAGCAGCTCATACACACACACACACACACACACACACACACACACACACACACCCCTCCACCTCCCTTTCACAGGCACATGCTAGCTCTGAGTGCTTCTCTCTCCCCTTTGAGCCTCCTAACTGCTCTGTGATGTAAATTTGGATTTACATCATTTCATCAGCAATTAACATCACGTGGATCTAGTTTAGCTTCAGGATGTAGCAGAGCTGGGGCCAAAGGTTCCCATCACCGAGTCTCCATTTAGCTAGTACACCTGATTGGCCAGCCTGGCCCAGTGGTATGAGTGTGATTTTGCCCTGAGTGGAGATGTAGGAATCTTATTTCTTGGGTCAAAACCAACCTCTCAGAATATTAAATTTACCCAGAAGTTTCCCAAATCATATTCTAATAGCTGCCCTTTTTGAATATCCCTGTTTTTCCCTGAAAAAAAAAAAAAAAAGACCAAATGCTAATGTTTAGATGTTGTTAAGGCACAAGCCACAGGCTCTGAGGGTCCGCACTGTGTTTTGATCCTCTGAGTCCTCGTATAGCTTTTCAGAGACCATCCCAGCTGCCTTCCCCCTCCTTCAGGATTTGCTGGAAGCTAGAAAATGTCTCACAACTGCAGTTAGAAACGGAAAATTATGCTTTGAGCATGTAGGGCACACCTCTTACTAGTTTTCTTTGGTCTTTATGTGCCAATGTCCTCAAAGGCTCTGGGCATCTCTCATATCTAGGAAACTACAGGCTGTAAAAAGTAAGTAAAAAGTTCTCTGTTTAACTAAATAATTTTTCCTCATGAGTTTAAAGATTCATTTGGTAATATAGGCTTTTGTTTTTAAAAACATCCTTCCATTACTATACAGAATTACTTTCTTTGTTTTATCCCTAAAGCTAAATTAGCATGGTGTAATTACTTCTGCTACAAAAAAAAAAAGTTAAAAAAAATACACTTAGCTTTTTTTCTCTTCAGAGGCAGAAAAACAAGCACACTGCTGTGTTCAAATGGAAGGTGTCTGTCTCTCTCCCGACCTCTGTCCTCCCTGAATCCTTTACAGGACTGAGGTGGGGCAGCCTGTGGACAGAGACAATGGGGACTAAGAGGGGCTTGGATCATTTCTTCTGGGAAAGCAAGAGAGAGTCCAGAATAGCACTGGAGGCTGCTCTCTGTAGCCTCCCCCTCCCCTGGGTGTAAGATTGGGCTGCTCTTGTCCCATACCATGTCAGTGGCCTTCTAGCCTACCTTGGCTTGTCTCCCCGGGAAGTCAGCAGCGAATAGCAGACACTTTTGAACCCACCAAGACGCTGATGTCCACCTACACACTACCCCAATCCTGCCTAGGCCCTGGGGGAAGGCGTGGTCCTCTCTTTACCGCCTGCCTCCCCTCCTTTGTAAGATCCCCTTGTAAATGGATGGAAAAGATGGCTGCGTCTTGGTAGGTGCATAGGGGACAAAGAACTTGCTGGTTAGAGTTAAAAATTCCCGGGAGATTGAATCCATCAGCCAGGTTCTAGATACATGCCAGAGGTGCTCTGATGTCTCCCAACACAATCTCCACATGGGGTCCTCCGTCTCTGGGGCAGTGAGCAGATGTATCCAGGACACATCCTGAGGGGACCCATACCTGGGGATGGCTCAGATGCCATGTCGTGTCCATAGAAACTTGTAGAAAATTTTGAAAATGCTCTCTAGTTAACTCTTGAGTGACAAGAAGTCCTGATTCCTACCAGTTGACTAAGGCCCTGCCTCCCTGAGCCCAGCTCCCTCTGTCCTGTATAGACTTACTCAGAGAGCACCCTGCTTTCTCCAGGTGTGAACACTCCATCTTGGTTCTCTGGTCTCTGCAGCTTGTCACACCCCATGAGCCCCTCAAGGGTCATACCCCAACTAGACTTCCTCAAAAGTCTAGAGCAGCAGTTCTCAACCTGTGACTATCAACCTCTTTGGGGGGATCAAACAACATTTTTACAGGGGTCACCTAAAACCATCAGAAAACACAGATATTTACATTATGATTAATAACAATAGCTAAATTACGGTTAGGAAGTAGCAACAAAAATAACTGTATGGTTGGGGGTCACCACAAGATGAGGAGCTGTATTAAAGGGTCGCAGCGTTAGGAAGGGTGAGAGCACTGCTCTAGGGAAGGGGCTCTTCCTATTTTCTAGGCAACTCTCCCCACTGTCGGTTATGTGGGCTCAGGAGAGAGGCTTTCATGGGCTCTACCCACAGGGCAGAGAAGAGGGCACTCTGAAACACAGCCAGCCTTCTTCCTGTCTTGCTTGCGTAAGGCTTTGCCTTGCTGCAGAGCATTGGTGCCTGAAAGGCATATTCCCAGGGCACAGCCAGCAGAGTGGTCCATGTTTGGTTTTTCTGAAGCCACAGCATCATCTACAAAGTTCACGTACATGAAGCATGCAGTCATGTTACCAAATATAGTGTACTCACACACACACACACACACACACACATATATATATACATATATGTATATATACTATATATTCCCCCCACCAAAAAAAAATCTAATATTTTAAGTAAGTTTACAGTTTGGTGTGGCTCGGGGCTGTATGTCGGATACTCCTGATGGTTATTTTTTGATAAAAAAAGCAGCCTCAACCTGGGTGCTAGCCTTGTGATTCGCTTCAAGTCTGATTTGGGACAATGTCCCGGCATCACAGTGCAATACAAGCAAATGCATGTCTTCATGCAGTTGGGAAAAGGGGCACTTTTCTCCACCTCTGCCACCCAGGAGGAGCTATCATTTTAGGAAAGCCAGCTGAGTGGCTTAGGAGCTTTGGTTAGCCCCAGGGCGGGGGAGGGGAGTCCGTTAAGCATTATAGCTTTTCAACCATTTTTGCCTTCCAGTTCCCACGCAGCGCTGCTGAACCCTCAAATACTCACACACACCCGCATACCCACTTCTGCACTGCTAGGGAGTCAGGGCTCCCCATTGAGGTGTCTTTCACCCTGTGTCTCTTAAACTCTTCTTCTATTCCCACTGTTTCCGGTCCAGTTGTCCAAGTTGGATAGCTTCCTCTACTCTCCTCAGCAGGGCTGAAATCGAATCTCCTCTGGTGTGCCCTGGTGTAGTCCTAGGGCTCTGGGAAGCGTTGAGCACACAGTCTACTTCTGTGAAGGTCAAGGCTGTGGCTGTGTGGCTTGTCTATCCGTTACATTGACAGGGTTTGCCTACTCCTTGTTAAAACCCAGGATACATGCCAGCATGACCCACAGCTCTTCCCACAGTACTGCCAAAATTCGAGCAGTGGTTGGCTAGGCACAATGCTGGTTGGGGTTTTTCCATCCGTGAGTTCAAGAAAATCCTTAATCCTGGAGAGAGCCTGGGCCTTCCCTACTCCATCCTTAGAAAACAAGTTTATTTGTTGCTGTTTTTAGCTATTAATAGAAGAGACCATGTGGCTTTTGGTTTGTTGTGATCAGCTTTACTCTACTAAGGAAGGGTCCAAGACAACACTCACCCCTCATCACTCTAGAATTCCCAACAAGGAAGTTTTGGGGTCCACTCCAGAGGAAACACAACAGTCCTCTTCCAATAGGACTTTCCTACTTCTGAATATGCCTGGGACCGAGACAGGGTCACTCTGTTCAACTAAGGGAAGTGCTCTGTTGGGGGGGGGTTCTCACTGCTGGGTGTCCTGCCTCAGTTTGAGCCACTACCCCTCTGAGCTGTGGACCCTGTGAATATGCTCTGGCTTCTTCCACTTGACCTACCCCAAGTTCATTTGGGGACCCAGAAGACAAAGCTGTGGCTGATCCACAGTGGCTGACTTTTGGGGATCTCCAGTCTGTGGAGGGTTGGCTGTTCGTCTGTGAGCCTGGATGTACCATTCAGAGCACTCACTCCTGGCAGGGTGCTCTCCCCCGTGTCTCCAAAGTCCTTCCTGATGTCTGATACAAAGGCAGCTTTGATCACCCTGAGGCAACAGAAGGCTGCCAGCCAGCTGTGCCAGCTGCGCCAGATCCGGGGCAGAGGTCGGACCGCCAAGGCAAGCTGGGCGTGAAGAGGCCAGGAACATCCAAGATGCCAAGGGCCAGGCTGGGCACAGTTTCCCCAGGGCATTTGGACCTTTTCTCAACAGAGCCTCGACTTACCAGGTCACAGGCAGATGGAAACAGAGGAGTCTTGAAAGAGCCTCCTTAAAAACACTCCAAACCAAGAACTTGTGAGGCCATCCATCCGCCACCGAGTGCCCACAAGACATCCGCGTAGCATGCCAGGCTGAGCACTGCTATCTTTGTTCATTCTCTAACAGGCAGAGCAGGAGCAAGGAGTTGGAAAGCTGTAAATAATAAATATATTTATGCCGCTATTTATTTTTTCAATAACTGTGACCTCCTGCACTGTGAATGCTCTGTGATATGAGATTCTTAGTTTAATAAAACTGTCATTAAATTTGAATGAATTGATATTATTGGTTCCTAAACACTGGCATGAGTTTACTTTTATTGTGCAGAAAAACAATCTAGAGTAAAATATGAAGCTAAACCTTTATAAGAAACCTAGCAGTCAGTATTGTGATGCAGTATATCAAAACCCTGTACACTGTCCATACAATAAAAAAAGCACAAGTCACCCCTCCTGATAGATCTTCATCCACGTTTTCATAGACACAGACGTGTATTTTTTTTTAATACCGGAATAACAGCCATTGAAAACCATTTCTATTTGCATATTGAGAAAAAAAATAAACTTCAAAGAAAGGATGAGAAGTTGGAGCTCTTAATTACAATGGTTGGAAATGGATAAAACAGAGTTGGGCTTGTGGTGCAACCTAGACTAGCTGCGATGAGCCCAGATGGCACCACCCTATCCTCGTGACAGCCATGTCATCTCACTGTGCCCCGCCACATGCTTTAAAGGGCCTCAGCTTAGTGGTTATTATCTTGAAATCTGTGTGTGTGTGTGTGTGTGTGTGTGTGTGTGTGTGTGTGTGTGTGTTGCACATGTTGTAGACACTTTTGGGTGTGCCTGTGTACGTTTGGAGACCTGAGATTGACATCAGATGGTGTCTTCTATAGCTTTCCACCTGACTTTTTGAGGCAGTATCTCTCACTGAAAACAGCGCTGCTATATGACTGAGCCATCAGACCACAGAGATACTTTTTATTAGATGTATTTACTGGGGGAGGGACACATGGACATGCCACAAAGCCCATGTGGAAATGAGAAGACAACCTGTGGGAGTCGCATCTTTCCTTCCACCATGATTGAAGGATCCCAAAGATTGAACTCAAGTTGCTGATCTTGGCAGCAAGTGCTTTGATGTGCTGAACCGTCACACTGGCCCCACAGAGATACTTACGCATACGTGTTTACTGTTGCACTATTCACAATAGCAAGGAGATGGATCAGCCTAGATGCTCATCGAAGAATGGATGGATAAAGAAAAGATGGCAGACAGAAAGTGGAATTCCAGCCATAAAAAAATTCATAAAATTTGCCGGACAGTGGTGGCACACACCTTTAATCCCAGCACTCAGGAGCCAGAGGCAGGCAGATCTCTGTGAGTTCGAGGCCAACCTGGTCTATAGAACGAGTTCCAGGACAGGCTCCAAAGCTACACAGAGAAACCCTGTCTCCAAACAAACAAACAAACAAACAAACAAAAATTATAAAATTTGTAGGAAAACGAATGGAACTGTAAAGTATTAAGTGAAATAACCAAGATTCAAAAAGACAAACACGTTATGTTCTCTCTCATATGTCTTAGCTTCTCATTTTTATTTATTCATTTATTTATTTATTTATTTGGTTGGGGTGTTGTTTTTGAGACAGGGTCTCTGTGATTCTGGCTGTCCTGGAACTCCCTATGCCAACCAGGCTGGCCTTGAACTCAAAAAGCATTTGTCTGTCTCTGCTTCCCAAGGGCTGTATTAAAGGCATGGACCACCACAGCTGTATATACCATATGTCGTATTCATGTGGGATGAGTGTGTGTAGGGGCCAGGAAACTAGAAAGGGGCCCCTGAGAGAGGAGAGGGAGTTGAGGAGGTGGAGGAGGGGAATAGAGTACTTGTGGAAACTAGAAAGGGGGGAAAGGATGCAGTGGGGGAGTGAGGAAGGACCAACCTGAACAACCCGTATAGGAAAGCGCCTTAATGAACCTTGTCTGTGCGCTGACTAAACAAGCATGGACTGAAGAGACTCAGCAGCTAAGAACACTTGCTGCTCTTGTAGAGGACCTGGGTTTGGTTCCCAGCATCCACATGGGAGTTAATAATCACCTATAACTCCAGCTCATGGGCTCTGATGCCCCTTTCTAACCTCTGAGGGCACCAGGTACACATGTGGTACCAGACATACATGCAAGCAAAAACGCATATAAATATAACAAAAATAACTAAAAAACAAACAAAAAACAACAACAACAACAACAAAAAGTGAATGAAAAGAAAGCACCATTTGTTATGACCCTACTACTCAGCAGGCACTTAGCCACCTCCTACAGACTCCTCACAAGCTGCTGGGGCTGGGCTCCTCAATGCCCACCTTTTAGAGGAGGTTGGCCCCAGGAGTTTAAGGAGTTTACCCAAGGCCACACTGTGGGGAAGAAAAGAAGGGAGCTGAGACTGGAACCCTGTCATCTGAAGCAGAGAACGATGCTGTCTCCTAGCAACTGCACACCCTTAGCAGCACCCCGCGAGAAGTGAGTCCCCATTTGAGGATACGTTGACCTGAGGACTCAGGGGCCTCAACTGAGATAACAGCAGAAGCCCAGGCTGGGACCATGGCCTAGTGACCACCAGGCAGGATTGGGTGTCCCTTCATCCTACCTATTGTCAGTCAGTTTCACGGGAGCCTCCCTTGTTCACGTGGAAGATGGCCTGAGGACACCAAGGTGATTCACAGAGAAAGTAGATGTTCTCCCCAGAGAGACATGAGATGGACACTAATCAATTCCACAGAGTGAAAAAGAAATAATCACTACTGCCCTCAAGCAGTTGGGGGGCAGCCAGCTCTGCTAAGACACAAGGCTCCCTGCCCTGGACTCTGGGAGAAAAGACCTGTGAGAGAGACTAGTAATTCCAGAAGTTTCCACCATGGGTACTAACGCTACTACAGGCTGTAATTCATTTTTCTCTCATCACTAGCTAAAGATGGAGATATGGTCTTGTCTCTAGGTCTTTTCATACACCAGCTCATCCCCTAAAGATGTCCTTCCATTATTTCCTCCATTTCTTGAAATTTCCTTGAAAGCCTACTCCAGGGTTTATGTGATGGTACCTGCCTATAATCTCAGTGATTATAGGGAGGTTGAGGCAGGGGGATTATAAATTCCAGGTCAGCATAGGGGATGTAGGGAGACTCTGCCTAAACAAACAAACAAAAAGTTTACTCTAAGAAACCCTGACTGAAACAGGGTGAGAGTTTGCTTCTCGTTCCTGTAGATGAGAAAGTTGAATGCACTCCATGGTGCCAGTGACCCAGCATCCTGCTAGGCTACTTCCTCAAAGTCCAAAATGGCCACCTGACTTCATCTTGGCTGCAACCTCATAAGCACCCTTGAGTCAGAACCAACCAATTGAGCACCTCCCAAATTTTTAGCCAAGCAGGGGTCTGGTGGCTGATGCCTCATAACCTAGCACTTGGACGACTGGGGAAACAAGACCTCAAGCTCAAGGCCAATTTGGGCTCCATAGCAACACCCTATCTCAAAAAAAAAACATAGACAGATCCTGACCCATAGAAATGATATAAAATGGAGGGAGGTATGGATATTGTTGTTTAAAGCTGTTATGTTTGGAGGTAGTTTTCTATCCCTCAGTGGTAAATAACACTATATATACACTATTTCCACCATGTATTCCTGAGTCCCTAACCCAAGACTGCATGGATGAAGGGGCAGGAGCTACTGATTGCCTACACAAGTTCTGAGGGAGGAGAAAGGAGTCTTGTCACACCTGTCTTGTCTTTGTGTCAGCGGTACTACTGCAGCAGTAGCCACGGCCCAGAACTGTGGCCAGCATCCTGAGGAGTTCTCCAAATCCTTTAGGGACCTCCACCCAGGTAGAGATGGATCCTTGACTTTGCCACAGAAAAGAATTTTAGAATGAGCCACTATTAAGTAGAGTTGAAGTTTATTAAAAAATAGGACGAAAAGCACCCAGGGAAAGAGCAGGGCACACCCAAAAGGTGCTTCTCAAATAAGAGTGGCTTTTTGATGTCCTAGAGGTGACTGTATACAGGATTTTAGAGACCTGGAATTTCCTTGCTTAAAGGGTTTCTAAGGGGCCCTGCGTCCCTTAAATAAACAATTTCTATTTATTTACATTTTTGAAATTTAACTTTTTAATAAATTTTAACTTAAATTTGTTATGTTTTTAAGGGACCCTCCTTAAATAAATAATTTCTATTTATTTACATTTTTATTTACTTATTTATGTATTTATTGTGGTAATTAAAGTTATAGGGTGGTTCCTAAGGTGCCAGAGATAAGATGACAATCTAATCAGGTAAAACCAGGAGCTACCAGGGTCACGAAGGAGACTAGACTACACCTTTTTACTATAAACTGAGTAGCTGGGGAGATTCCTAGAGAATTGCAAGTTTATGGTTTATGGATGCGAAGGGAGAATGGCCTTAAAGAAATGTTAATCGAGCTGAAATTCTGGTTCCCAGCTGGCAAGAGGTTACAGCCAGACTGTAGCCAAACTCCTTTCCCTTCCCGTGTCGACATAATTTTCCATCTTTCTGATCTGCCTCCCTTCCCTCAACCCGAGCACACAGTAGGGCTGCATTTGCTTGGCTCGCAGTAGGAACTCTGCTCTCCAGGATGAGCGTGACCTCTGACTTGCCTTCTGGCAGATGAGGCCGCTTGGAGAAGCTGGGCCGCTTAATATGTAACCACTGGCCTCTTGTCAAAAATGTAGCTCGGCTTCCCAGAGGTCACTGTTGCAAAGTCTCTTTCCATCCCCTCATTCTCAGGGCTGCCAAAGGGAAGGCCCAGCTGGGCCAGCAGGGGAGAGCCTGCCTGAGCTTGCTACCAGCAGCTGGTGTTCAGGGCTGAGTCTGTCTAGGCTCCTTCTTCTTTGTGACTATCCTACATTGTCAGGAGGGGCAAGAAAAGAATCTTCCAGAAAAATGACTCTCTGCACTTAATGTTTTTAAACCACACTGTCAGCAATTTAAATAACAATAGTGACTCAGGGCTTTGCTTTTTAATGATAATAAATTACACAATACCCTTCATTATGAACTCTGTACAGCGTGTCCACAAGTCATTTTTGCTGATTTTTTTTTTGTCAGCCTCTTGTGGCTATAACGACCTCTTTGCAACTGATAAATGACACAAATACAATAACTGAACATATTTTTACTTACTACCAAAGGTAAATCGTGAAGGCACGAGTCAGGACTTCATCCCTGATCACACAAGTGACTTTGCTCTGTTATCAGAT